CACTCCCTTGGGCACGCACTCACATGCACCTGGTGTGAGTTTAAGCTACTGGGTACCGGGACTCCAACCATGGTCGACTACTCGACTACATGGCAGTCCAGCGACATAGCCATTACACCAACTACTGGTCCCAGAGCGTTCTTAAATACAGTCCCCCCCCCCAAAAAAAAAACCTTATTTATGACAGAGTGAGAGATACACCAAGCTCCCCCCACCAGGGTCTGATGCCTAGATGCACCTCCAGCCTCCACCTGCCCAGTCGCTAGCCTGTATGTGTTCAGCGTGCGTGGAGAGGTCTTACAGAGTTGGAATTCCGCAAAGCCTCATGGTACTGCCGGGCCACCAGGGGCCACCCGGTCTGCCACCGGGTGCAATCCCTTCTCCACTTATTTTGTGGGGATTTGGGGCATGCACGCACTAGCATCCAGAGTGTCTTTCAAGCCTCCGCGGCCAAGACCCCTCCTGCTCCCCCTTTCAACGATGCGAAACAGGCTCTGGGAGTCCCTTTTAGAGTGGCCAGTCTTCACTCCCGCCTCCCCATCACAGGAACCCCTTTGACTCAGATGAAGAGAAACTGCGTGTACCTTCCTGGAGAGAGAGATGCGGGCCCATTAGCTGCTCAGTGAGTCTGAGCCTCAGGCATGCCACTACTGCGGGGGCAGGCTCCAAAAGACCAGCCAGAAACTGGGGACCCGAGAACTGATGAGGACGTGCCATGCCTGCGGGTGAATGCGGCGTGAACCTGCGGCCGCGTGCGCTCTGGATCTGCTGGGGGTTGGGGGTGACCGGGCAGACTTCAAGGCCTGACAGGGCAGGGCGGTTCCAGGAACAAGGTGGCCAGTGGAGCGTCCCCTCCCTGGGCTCCCTTCCAGCTTCCCGAGAGGCCGCCGCGGGCTCTGCTCCATCTGCACCTTCCCCATGGCCCGGGGCTGCGGGGCGCGCCTGGGCACACTCTAGGACTGTACCCGGAGCGCCCACGTGGGCAGGAAAACGTAGCGAAGCCTCTGCTTGCAGACCCGA